AGCCATTTCGGCTCAGGCTGTTTCGACCCCCCGCTGCAAGCGCCGTGATATTTTTTTGGCGCCTTGAGCAGAGCGAGGGTGGCCGATTGGGCTTTCGGCGACCCTCCAGACAGGTGTTCGACTGCCTTCTTGCGTTTCCTCTGCTTTTTGATTGGTTCTCGGAAGTCAATGCCTGCTTCCCGGGGTATCCAGATGTGTGTTCGGAGGTTTCCGATCGACGCGGAGGAGGAGCAGGCAGGCCTAGAGCGCGAACGGCTCGTTCCAGAAGGCTCCCGGCCGCTCCCAGAACGTTCCAGAACGCCCTGGAGCCGGCCGCGGCGCGGCGGGCTCCCAGAAACTCCGGAGTTGTTTGCATCCGGAAATCTGCCCTCAGCATGCCTTCGTCTTACGACCGGCGCTGGAAGGTCGGCGTGCGGTGTGACGCCGTTGGCCCGCCTGCCGCACGCTGCCCCCCACCTTGGGGACAGCGTGCACCCAAGAAGCCCCGGCAGGGGACAGCGCGCACGGAAGGGGCCCTCGCGGGGGATCGTCCCGCAGGGACAGCGCGTGCTCTTCCTGCGCGAAGATCAGGCGATCGCAAACATGGATTCAGTCGGGCCTGTCCCTCTACAGGAGGAATATTCAAGAATAGCCAAAAAATTAGTGTGGGGACGATGCTTTGACCATGTTTGAGTATTTTGGGGCATTCTTTGAGGAATTGTTGTTCGTCCAAAAGCCCCCTGTAGGGGGATAGGCCCGACTGAAAGCATGGATCAAAGGGGCGTGGATTAGCAACGGGTCCCATGAACCACTGGAAACCGCGGCTCTCCGCCGCCCAGCGAGGCGGCACCGGTCGCATGTTTGGGGAGGGCACCTCCCCCGATCCAGGGCTCTGGCGACCGCGCGCCAAGCCCCCGGATCGCCAAGTCCATGCTTGCGCGCCCCCCTTCCTTCATATTTGCTTCCTCCCCCCTTACATTTGTCAATTCGAGCCTCGCGCGGCCCGCCCAGCTTCGACCGAAGAAGAGGTGCGCGCTCGACCCGCGAATCCAAAATCTTGGCGCGCCCCCGAGCAGAGAGGACCGCGCTCCGCGCACCGCGGCCCGGGTCGGAGAGGCCTGGCATCACTCGGACGCGTGCGTCTTCTTCTCGGCGAGAACCACCGAGGAGCATCCCTGACCATTTGGCGACAAAGCCACGCACGAAACCGAAAAAAACACAGAGACGCGGCGAGAACCATCGAGGAGCATCCCTGACCATTTGGCGAAAAAGCCACGCACGAAACCGACAAAAAAACACGGAGCATGGCCGTCCGAGCGCTGGCGAGGCGCCCCCCCTCCGGGGGCGGCGGCGCGAGGGCGCGGAGGTCGCCCTGCCTCGCCGTGCGCGCCGTGCCTCGGCGGCGGGGGCCGCGGCCGCGCGCGGCCTCTCCGGCGCCGGCCGCAGGGGGGGCCGCCGACGGCCTGACCGGCCCCCCTCCTCCCAGCGGCGCGCCGACGGGGGTCAAGCGACGACGACGACGGACGACGCCGACGACGACGACGACGACGCCGACGACGACGCCGACGCCGACGACGACGACGACGGACGACGCCGACGACGACGACGACGACGACGACGACGACGACGACGACACGACGACGACGACCGACGGGACGACGACGACGACGACGACGACGACGACGACGAAACGACGACGACGACACGACGACGACGACGACGACGAGAACGACGAACGACGACGCCGACGCCGACGACGACGACGACGACGACGCGCCGACGACGACGCGACGACGACGACGACGACGACGACACGACGACGCCGACGGACCGACGCCGACGACGACGACGACGACGACGACGACGACGACGACGACCGACGCGACGACGACGACGACGACGACGACGACGACGACGACGACGACGACGACGACGACGACGACGACGACGCCGACGCGACGCCGACGACCGACGCCGACGACGACGACGCCGACGACGACGCCGACGACGACGACGCCGACGCCGACCGACGACGACGACGACGACACGACGACGACACGACGACGACGACGACGACGACGGACGACGACCGACGACGCCGACGCCGACGACGACGACGACGACGACGACGACGCCGACGACGACGACGACGACGACGACGCCGACGACGACGACGACGACGACGCCGACGACGCCGACGACGACGACGACGACGACGACGACGACGGCCGACGCCGACGACGACGACGACGACGACGACGACCGACGACGACGACGCGACGACGCCGACGACGAACGACGACGACGACGACGACGACGACGACGACGACGACGACGACGCGACGACGCCGACGACGACGACGACGACGACGACGCGACGACGACGACGACGACGACGACGACGACGACGACGACGACGACGACGACGACGACGCCGACGACGACGACGACGACGACGACGACGACGACGACGACGACGACGACGACGACGACGCCGACGCCGACGACGACGACGACGACGAGTAGCCTCGCCTGGAGTCGCCTTCATGGCCCCGCGAATCGAATCGACGACGACGCCGACGACGACGACGACGACGCCGACGACGACGACGCCGACGACGACGACGCCGACGACGACGACGACGACGACGACGACGCCGACGCCGACGACGACGACGCCGACGCCGACGACGACGACGACGACGACGACGACGACGCCGACGACGACGACGCCGACGCCGACGACGACGACGACGACGACGACGACGACGACGACGACGACGACGATCACGGCGACGACGACGACGACGACGCCGACGACGACGCCGACGACGACGACGACGACGACGACGACGACGACGACGACGCCGACGACGACGACGACGACGCCGACGACGACGACGACGACGACGACGACGCCTCGACGACGTCGGGTCTGGGCGTCCTCGTCGCAGCGCCTGGACCCGGCCACGCGCAGAGTGGGGCAGGGGGGGGGGAAGATTTCTCAGAAGCACCCCTTCAGAGCCCCGAATCATCGGGGATAACTCGGGTCAGGGATAACTCGGGTTCGTTTTTCGGGAACTCAAACCCGAGTTACCCCGGACCCGAGTTACCCCGGATAACTCGGGCGTCCAACCCCTGCTTCTCAGCAGGCGCCGGCCTTCTCTCTGGGACGTAAGGCCAGCGCCCTTCAGAAGCAGCCTCCTGCGATCGGGAGGATCGAAGTGGGTACGGAAAGAACGGGTACGATGCCCAACGGCAGCCCCTGGTTCATTTGGAACAGGACTCGCTGTCCGCGCCGCCGCGGACGTTGCTCATTGAATACCAAGGCCCGCATGCCCAACAGCGGACGTTGTCTGTCTGTTTTGGACGGCACGAGCTGTTGGGCACCGCACCCGTTCCCAATTCGAAGAAGCCGCCCCCCTTTGGCGTCCGAAATCCACGAAGCGCACCATGTCGGGCGTTCAAATTCTAAGAAGCCCCCCCCCCTCCCCCTGACCCCGCCTCCGCGCGCCGACGGAGGCCGCGGCCCAGAGAAAACACTCCACATGTAGGACGGAGGAAAAGGGAGGATGGGGAGGTCCTCCTCCTCCTCCTCCTCCTCCTCCTCCTCCTCCTCCTCCTCCTCTTCCTCCCCCTCCTTCTCCTCCTCCTCCTCCTCGTCCTCCTCCTCCTCCTCTCCCTCCTCCTCCTCCTCCCCTCCTCCTCCTCCTCCTCCTCTTCCACCCCCTCCTTCTCCTCCTCCTCCTCCTCCTCCTCCTCCTCCTCCTCCTCCTCCTCCTCCTCTCCCTCCTCCTCCTCCTCCTCCTTCTCCTCCCCCCTCCTTCTCCTCCTCCTTCTCCTCCCCCTCCTCCTCCGCCTCCTCCTCCTCCTCCTCTTCCTTCTCCTCCCCCTCCTCCTCTCCGTAGCCATTTTGGCTCAAGATGCCTAGTTCCACAGTGGAACAAGTGGATACCGCTAGTCCGCGGCCAGTGCCAGGGCTCTTGAGCCCGACAGCCCCTTCTCGATCCCAAGTGCAGACTGCAGCACCATGGCTGGCGCCGGCCGAAAGGAACGCCAGGACTGGGCTTGCAGGAGCTGTACGACGAAGCGCGGCAAGCCGCTCATCAACTTCGGGACCTCGCTCAAGTGCCAAGGGTGCAGGCTCCACAAGAAGGACGTGTACGGCGGGCCTGTGCCGCCGAAGGAGCCCTCGATGCGGGCCCCAGCCAAGGGCAAGAAGCGGGCCCCGTGGACGGCCGAGGGCAAGCTCGAGGGCGAGCTCGCGGCCATGCGGGCGGAGCTCGACGCTGCCAGGAAGAAGCTTCGTACGCAGGAGTCCGACCAGGGCGGGGCCGCGGCCATGCACGTGGACGACGGCAAGTCAGGCGAGGACGCCTCGGCTGCGAGCGAGATCAAGGTGTGCGAGGCAGGCCTGGCCACGCTCAAGGACGTGCAGCACGACTGGGCCACGGGCCCGCGGGAGGATCTCAAGCGCAGGCTCGCCGCCGCCAAGGACAGGCTCTTCGCCGCCAAGCCGCTCCACGCGCGGGTGCAGGCGCTGGCCCACAGGCAGAAGAATCTGGCGGACAAACTCAGCAAGATGGAGCTGGCCGAGCGCGAGGCGGAGGACCGTGTCAAGAAGGCGCAAGACGAGCTGGAGCTCAAGCGGCATGGTGTCAGAGAGCTCAAGGCGCAGCAGGTGGCCCTCCAGGCGGAGCAGTCGGCACTCCAGCAGCAGGTCCCAGTCGCGCCAGAGGATCGTCCGCCTGGGCAGTCCACGGAGCACGACGTCATCAAGAACACGGGCGGCCTCACCCTCGGCGACCTGGCGCAGGCTCTCAGCGGTGCTCTGGCCGCTCACCCCGACGACACCATGCAGACCGCGGGCGATTTGCCGCAGCGGCTGGCCCCGGCGCTCGGCGGGCCCCTCCAGGAACTCATGCTGCGGCGGCAGCGCGAGCGGGCCGCCGCCGCGGAGGCAGCGAGCGCCCCTCGCACCCCTGCAGCGTCCGTCGAGGGAGACGACGCCGCCGCCGCCGCGCATGGCGCAGGCACTGCAGGCGGCGCCGCCCCTGCAGCCGCAGCGCCGCGCTGGGATCCCGCCGCGATGGAGCCCGAGAAGCTGCGGCAGACCATGGCGGAGTTCTCGCCA